CTTCCTTATATCCTGGATTATGCAAGTCAACTGGTTGCCACAGTTGAGTGGATTAGCTGCCACAGTGACCTCCCACCACAGCTACATCACTGAAGGGGTGAAGGAGGGAGGGTACATCAGCACCTGTAAGGTTGCCAGGAGGAAAAGTTTAAATTGGCATTATTATTTAATTATGTTATTTTAAACAAATCATGTTTGGCTTTAAGTAGAGACAGTGAAACAGGTTGAAGTTGTAAATTATGGGTAGGGCTGTAGAAGAACAGGAAGACTATAAAAATTACAGAGGGAGAGATAATATAGTTATAAAACAGTGCTATATAATAAGAGTTTTCTTTATAAGAAGGCTTTTTTCTTTTTCAGACCTTTAAAGCACAGATCATACCACAGTTCTACATCAGAGGTCAGCAAACTCTACCAAATGATTTACTATTAAAACAGATTGTAAATAAATTGGGTTTCATGGTACATATATTTTGTTAACAACTATTTAATGCTGCTGTTGTACCTCAAAATTAGCCATATACAATATGCAAATGACTGGGTGTGGCTGTGTTCCAATAAAACTTTATTTACAAATAAGGGTGTCAGGCCAGATTTCAAGGAAGAGCTGTGAGTTTACTAATTCCTCTTCTAAATCACCACAGAAATACAATGTGAGCCACATATGCAATTTAAAATTTTATAGCAGCTACACAAAAAAATAAGCAGGTGAAATTCATTTTAATATTTTATTTAATCCAAAATATCACAAATATCATTTCAACAAGTAAGCAATATAAAAAGCTATCAATGAGATACATTTTAAAAAATATGTCTTCAGACCTGTTGTATTTTGTACACTTAGCATCCCAGTCATTACCAGTGCTCAGCAGCCGCATGTGGCTGGTGGCTACCAAACTGCACCATACGTTCTGGATCTTCTGTGCTGGGATTTCTACAGCTATCTGGAGGTTGGCAACAGTGCTGGGATTTGGCTCTTGAAAAGACAGGGGATATAATTATGCTGCCTCTGGGAGACAGGACGAGGGATTAAAGCTTTTGGGAAGAAATATGTGGCCTCAGACACTAGCACTTGAGGTAGCCCATGATTCTAGGGCAATGTAACTAGACCAGTGATATAGTCAGACTAGGTTAACTTGCCAATGCAATGAATGAACACACATGCAAAATGCTAACTGCCATTAAGAGAGCTAGTCTTTAGCACTTAGGCTGTATCAGAATTTAAACCATATACGGATGTGGAAGATAGCTGTGTAGCAAGGAAAAAAAAACTTCAAAAATTAAATTGAATTTTTCAAAAGATTTAAACAGTCTAAATGCTTTTTCAATTACCTGTCTAACACAGTATAATGCTAGTCACCAACAGCATGTTAACATGTTTTTAACATGTTACTAAAAGGTAATCATAACCCTTATTTTAAGCCTGGGGAAGTTCTTCAGTATTTAAACCCAAATTTCTAAGTGATTAAATCAGCATTTCCAAATTAAGAATGGACATAACTTTTTGTTAATAAAACTTAGAGGCAAGTGTTTTTAACAAAAAATTTATTACCAAAATACAATATTAAAGTCAATACATGACAAACTCCTGTAAAGCAAAATAAATTATTCTAACATTGTACAGTATTTCCAAAGGTAGTTAAAGAAGCGCTAAGACCTTGCTTCGCTGTTTACTGAACAGATAAACTGTTCTACCATGAACACAATCCTAGAGTTTTAGGCGTTAAGGCATGCAGCTTGATGTGCAGGACAATTTTACAAAATGCAAATCATCCTATTTTAATAAGATACAGTGTCAGAATTAACTGTAGTCTTTACATGTCAGTGTTTTGGAAATTTTCAGACTTTGGCTATAGAAGCAATGCCGTAGTGTTACACAATACTTATTTCTTAAAAAAATACATGTATTCATGTCCATGAATATCAAACTCAAATTTCTATTAAATATATTTTATAGAATATTACTTAGAGCACCTTGCTGTACAATAAAAAAAAGATTAAATAAGTGTCTATGAAAACTAAAAATATAGTAAGTCTCAATAGAGAAGCCTGCTTGTCTCTGTCAAGCCAAGTACATTGCAGGAAGATACAATGTAAACATAGGTGCCCACCGCTCAGATTTGTGAGAAGAGACCAAAAAAAAAATAGTAGCAAAGCCACCGATAGCTACCTCAAATAGACGAGAGATCTAGAATAAAGGCTTCAGTCAGTGTCACTACACTGCGCTGGCTGGACTCAGAACTTGGTCTACAGGTCAACTGGAATATAGGCATGGTTAGAATGCTGGGGATACCAACCATTTTCTGGGTTACTAGAGAAAGAGAGAAAATGATAGAGCCCTGATAAAGTATTATTTATAATGATCAGAATGCATCATCTTCCCCCTCCCCACCTCTGCCTTATCCAGTAAGCTTGTTTTAAAAACTATGGTCACTATCAAATCTTAGAACTTACGTGTTGAGCGTGGAAAACAAATACTGAGTTTTGTATAATAAAAGATCGAGTACCAGTAAATGTTATTCCTATATAAAGAGAATTCCTGCTGATTATTTTAATACCTATCTCTTCTAGAATTAAAATTGCATATTTAGTCTTCATCAGTACTTTTAGAAATACTCAATTGTTCTTGGTTGAGACAGTTAACTTAAGGCTTGTCACAAAACTGTAATGGGAAAGTACAGAACATTTTTGGTATATGGTTCCTCCTACAGGCCAGGAGAAAGCTTTTGCAGATATTTTAGGCTACAGTCAGATGAATATTTAAAGACTTTTGAACTTCTGGGTTAATTTTTTTTCCCATGAGCTAGGGAAATTTACATTTGTGATTCCAAATGGAGAATTTAAGTAACAACCAATGGAAGTGGTTTAAGGAAATGAAGAAAGTTAATTCAAAAATTCATTGTTGAAATTTTGGGAATGTTTTTTAGTTATTAGTATTTTCCAAATGATTATATAAAATTAAAGCCAAGGAAAATTTATGAAACAAAGAAATTCTTCTAAGGTTGTCAGTTTTTAGAATAATAGATTTTTATAAAGAAACACTCAGCCAGAGCCACCAGTAATGAAAAAACTGAGTGAAAACAATATAGTAATGATGGAACCATTTAAAATATTTCATTTGAATTTGAAATAAAATTTCATTGTGTCTTAATCCTGAAAACAGGAGAAAATGAGAAAACCCATTGTATGGGGTCTTGGGTAATACAGTTTAGTATATATGAATTCATCTTCTCTCTGAAAACCAGATATCAGAAATGGATTAACTTTCACAAATAAATTAAAGCTACCTAAATTAAAGAGCTGCAAAGTTACAATGAATTCTGTTTGTTCAAATATCACCATCAAATGAGATTAAAAAAAAAAAATCAGACAATATTTCACGTGCCTGGCCCTACTTAAATAGTTCCTAACGCTGTCTGAAAAATGTTAATTCATTCAATTCATACCTGGACTCTGGGAAGAGAATTCTTTCCTAAAATGTGTCTACAGAGTATCCTATTCACAAAGTTCTCTTTTCGATGTTTTCTAAGCCTATGAGAGTCACAGACTTAGCTCTAGAGGACGAAAAGTCAGGTTCAGAAAGAGCACCATGAAGGTGGCGCAGTGCACGGTGCGCCGGCCGCTTTTTGATTTGTGGGCAGAACTGACATTAACAGAACAATGCATACATAAATGATCAGGATTACAAAAGCAAAACCAAAAACTCTGTTCTCTTTACCCTTTGAAATATGCTGTAATACAAAATGTGTAATTGACGAGAAGATTTCATCTATCTGATGGCGAGTTTTCACTGGCTTCCCATGTGTCCTATTGCACACCAAAAAAAATGCAATTTCCTGGATAGGAGAAACCCAAATGTTTTTTGTTATTAAAAGTTTTGGAAACACTCTGAATTTTTACTATATTTTAGCCACATTTGGTTATACTTCGTATGCTAAATATAACTAGATAAAAAACTAAAGGAAATAAAATCTCAATAGTAGTACTCATTAGAAGGGGCTTCTGAATTTCATCCCACCTCCCCTAAATGATTTTTATTTAACAGTTTAAACTATTTCCAAGGTCTCATGGCTAGATGCAGTTTCCTACTTTGTTGTTTTAACAGACTTTTTAAGATAACAAGCATGGTCTAGTTTAGAAGAGTGGATTAGAAGGCCTACGTAACTACTGAGAAAACTGGTGTTTCTATCAACACTCTGAAAAGAATCTCTGAGAAGTGCACTGTGCTCAACCAGTCACCATTTTTATGAATCTTGAGTTTTGATTTGAGGTTGGTCGGAATTCACCTTTCTCCTCTTTTGCTCACAAGACATTCACTGTAAATTTAAGACAATAATTTACTTTGTAAATGGTTACTTATAATCTAGATTTGGATCTAGAGATCTCTTTTCTTTCTAAAGAGTAAAGTATTAATAATATATCTCAGGTTGGGTATAGATTTATTCCTATAAATCTGGCAAAAGATTTCAATTGATCATCTCAAAGCCCTGTAATAATCTTATTTTTCTTGTTGATACCAAAAAACCCTTAGACACTTGCCTCCCATTTCTCATAAGAGGCCTGTCATTCATGTCAAAATTGAGAATGAAGAAAACTAACATCTGCTCAAGACTGTGACACTTTAGTAACAGGATGTTTTGGAATAGTTCCTGAAAAGCCCCTTCTTAACTCTCTTGCTTGCATTTCTACACTATAATAAGCTTTTAATAATAAATACACCCAAACTAAGAGGTAACAGAAGGTTATTGTAAGGTTATATCTTGGCTGCCTCCTCAACCCACTTTCCCTCACTCAAAATGCTTAAATATTATTACCCCTTATCTATTTGGAATTTCTTTTATTACATTACAAATTTGGTTCCAAAGTCCCATCTCTCATTTCCTCAAGAATCACACCAATTATTTCTTCTGTGTCTAGTAAGTTACTGGACAGCACAAAGGGCAAACTGCAGTTTAAAGGATTCTTCTTCAGCTGGTTTCCTCTTTGGATAACAATTCCATCTAATTTGTGTTTAGAGTTGTGTTGTGGTCCTTATTTAGGATGATGTTTACAATTTCACCCTCATGCTCTTTCATATGATCCAAGAGATTCTCTTTGCTGGTAGATTCAAAACCACATATACAACAACAGAAGAGTAAAACGCAATACTCCACGCCAGGAGGGGCTAGACTGGAGTTTTTTTCTAAACTGCATGAGGTATTACTTGCAGGGCTTAGCTTCTCATTCTCATTGGGACCTTTGACTTCACTGGGAGTCTGGGGAATCAGCTCTGAGGATGACACCAAATTTTCTGAACTTGCAGAAGTGAGAGAATCGGCTCTTTCTTCACTGCTGTTTAAAACTGTCTTTCCAGAGGATTTCCCCCGAATCCTTAAAACAAAACACATCAAATCTTGAGTTGGTTATAATGCAGACTAGTAGATTTAACTTTATCTTTACAGAAAATGTATATATACGTAGCCATAATTTACTTGTATATAACAGTAAGATCAAATACCTGCCACTCTGTGAGATCGCGTCATTAATGGCCTTGTTCACTTGCTCGTAGTTGTAATTCTGGTCACTGGCGTGTTTCCACATGTGAGACTTCAGAGAAGGGGGGTGGCTGCACACATACCCACACAACGAGCATCTGAAAAACCCAGACGAAGGCAGTCAGGTGGTCCCGCGGTTCTGTGACAACTGTTAAATCTGTTCTCCTGAGGACATTAGCTACCCCATTTCACTGAATCTAAGATGCCACTGATTGTAAGAGACATACTGCTATCAGAGGCTAACATGTCCTAGTGCGGATCTCTCAGAATCAATGAAATAAAAGTATTTTACATTATAAAGAAATTATAAGAGTCAGGACAAACATCCCATATTACTTTAGCTATCACAGTATTTGGGAAGATTTCTAATATACTAACATGCAAAATCTTTGCACTAAATTATTTAACCACACAGATACGCAAATATACAAAATCAATTCTCTATACTACCTATTTCTTAAGAAAGCAAAAAGGAATTAAAACAATGTTCAACATTAACTCCATGCTTACTTATAAATTCACAGAAAATGTAAGTAGCAGTCCTGAAATGCTTCAACAATGTAGATTTCTAAGTAAAACAGATACTTATCTTAAAGTTTCTAGTCCAAGTAACAATTATTTGACATAATTGGACACATTCAGTAAAATCTGAACAAATAAACTACTTAAAAAAAATTAACAGATTATTTTTAGAGCATGCTTATGTTTATCCTCTTTTCCCTCTGTACCCAATTCCTCCTATCATTAACATCTTGCATCAGTATGGAATATTTGTTACAACTGATGAACCAAAATTGATACATTAACTAGTGTCTACAGTTTATATTAGGGTTCACTATGTTGTACAGTTCTATGTATTCTGATAAATGCATAATGCCATGAACCCATCATAATAACATGCTGAATAATTTCCCAGCCTGAAACGTCCTCTGGCACTACACCTACTTACCCCTCCCAAGCCCTAACCACCGGCAGTCACCAATCCTTTTATTGTCTACACAGTTCTGCCTTTGCTAGAATGTTGCATATCTGGAATCATACTGTATTCAGCCTCTTCAGACTGCTTTCTCTCCCTTAGCCATTTGCATGTAAGTTCTTCCATGTCTTTTCAGAGCTTGAGAGGCCCCTCTCTCCATCGCTGAATAATATTCCACCAAGCTACCATATTTGTTACTGTTTTCTATTTGTTGTTCTTGTTCTATTGTTTTCTTCTACTCTTTTGCTGCCTTTTGTGGTTTTCACTGAGTATACTATGATTCAACTTTCTCCTTTCTTAGCATGTCAGTTATACTTATTTTTTTACTTTATATTATTGGTTTTCCTAGTGTTTGGCAAATACATTTACAGCTAATCCAAACCCACCTTCAAGTAACATTATACTGGCTTCATGGATAGCTCAGGTACATTATGATAAAATAAAGGCATCTAGTTGCTCCCTAATTTTGTCAATTATGAATAAAGCTTCTATTAAACATTCATGTGTAGGGTTTTCTGTGAATATAAGTTTTCATCATTTGTGTAAATACTTAACAGCAGAATGTTTATCTTTTTAGGAAACTGCAAACATACTTTTAAAAAGTCATTTTTATTAAATACTTAATTACCAATCTAACAAATCAGGTAACTTATCTGAACTCTTCACCACAACAAGACAGTCAGTAGAGGGATAAAAGAACCACTTTGAGACATGCCAGAACATTCTGTTCTTAACAAGGTCTGCTCTCAGGAGAAATTATTTACCAGAGTCTAACCTACTGGAGTTTTATCAGAGCATAACTGACCTGGGGGAAAGAAACACCCAACTCCAGGCCACTCCAGCTCCAGCTGTCTTGTCCACCAAGGGCTGGGGAGGGAAGGGCCTGAGAAGTACAGCTCACAGCTCAGAGGCACAGGCTCACTAAAAACTGAGACCTAGTTTGGACTACAGAACATTTTCCTTCCCTGTACTTTTAACCATCACATTTCTGAAGTCCTACTGACAGCAGAGCTTTTACCCAGTACATCATGCCTGATTGCCAAGAAAAAACTGTAAGACACACTAAAAGGCGAAAAGCAAAGTTGAAGAGACAGAGCAAGCACAGGAACAAGAGTCGGATATAGTAGGATGTTGGAATTATTAGACTGCTGATTTAAAATAACTATGATTAATAATTCTAACAGTGCCAATGAATAAAATACATGGCATGGGAAAACAGATGAGTAACAAAGCAGAGAGATGGAAATGCCAAAAAAGAACCAAAAAGAAATCAAAGAGATCAGAACCCTATAAAATGAGATAGAAGAATAGGTAACAGAAATGAGGAGTCCTATAAGGGGCTTATTAGTGGACTGGATACACCTGAGGAAAGAATCTCTGAGCCTGAGGATATCACAACAGATAGAAACCTCCAAACCAAAAAGCAAAATAAATAAATAAAAGAAAGGACTGGAAAAAACACAACAGAATATACAACTATAAAAGGTGTAATCTATGTGTAATGGGAATACTAGAAGAGAGAAAGGAACAGAAGAAATTTATTTTAAACAATAATGACTGAGAAGTTCCCTAAATTAACACCAGATATCAAACCATAGATATAAGCCTCTCAGAGAACACCAAACAGGATAAATGGCAGAAAGACTACACTTAAGCCTATCAGGTTTGAACTATAGAAAATAAAAGAAAAAGAAAAAAGGAGCCAGAGGGAAAGATAAACAAAGAAGAATTAAATCAAACTTCTCAGAAACAATGCAAGAAAGTAGAGTGAACTATTCAAAGTGTTGAGAGAAAAATCAACCAACGCAGAGTTCTGTACCAGCAAACTTACTCTTCAAAAGTGAGTAGATTTAAAGACTTTCTCCAACAAAGTTGTTGCTGGCAAATCTGTCTTGCAAGAAAGGTTAAAGAAGTTCGTTAGAAAGAAGGAAAATGGTAAAGTTCAGAAATGTGGATCTATACAAAGAAAGGAAAAACATCAGATAGGTTATGTTGCTGCTGTTGTTTAATTGCCGAGTCTGAATTTTGGCCACGTCGTGAACTGTAGCCCGTTCCTCTGTAGGAGAAGCTGTAGATAGGCTCCTCTGTCCACGAAATTCCCCATGCAAGAATACTGGCAGGGGTGCCCACTGCTCCCTCGTGGGGATCTTCCTGATCCAGGGATCAAACCAGTGTTTCCTGCATAGGCAGGAGGATTCTCTACCACTGAGCCACCAGGGAAGTCCCAGATAAGGTGTAAGAGAGGGTAAAATAAAAGTTTTTAATTTTAATTCCTCTGAGAGATCACAGTTTGTTTAAAATAATAATAGCAACAATATATTCGATTATGTATGCTTATGTGTGTGTGTACACAGGTGCGCACGTGCATGCACACACACTATGTGTAAGTGAAATGAAAGCAGTAATGCAGATAATGGAACAGAAGAATTAGGTTATTTTATTACAATGTACCTGGGATACCCATGAAGCCAGTAATGTTACTTGAAGGTGGATTTGGATTGGCTGTACGTGTGTATGCCAAACCCTAGGAATCCATTAATGAAAAGTAAAAAAAAATGAAGTACAACTGATATGCTAAAAAAGTAGAGAAAATGGAATCATATAACATGCTCAATGAAAACCACAAAAGGCAGAAAAAGAGAAGAAGAAAAAAAAACAGAACAAGCACAGCAAACAGAAAACAGTAACAAATATGCTATGAATTCAACTATTATCAATCATCATTTACACGTCAATGGCCTAAATACACCAATTGAACGACAGAGACTGGGACCTTCCTAGTGGTTCAGGGGATAAGGGTGGCCTGCCAGTGCAGAGGACAAGGGTTCAATCCCTGTTCTGCGAAGAGACCCCACTGCACTGAGAAGCCCGCACAGCACAATGACGAGCAGCTCCCACTTGCTGCAACCAGAGAAAGCCAGAGTGCAGTCCCAGTGCAGAGCCCAACGAAGACCCAGCGCAACTAAAAACAGAGAAAAGGACAGACTGTCAGGCTGGATCAGAAGCAAGACCCAGCTATATGTTGTCTATAAGAAACTCACTTTATAGACACCTATCAAATGGATAAAGAATATCTAGAGCAAACCTATAGGTAACATCATACTTAATAAGAAACTAAAAGCTTTCCTGATAAGTTTAAGAACAAAGCACAGATCTTGTCTCACCATGCCTTTTCAATACCATAACTGAGTCCTAGTTAATGCGATACATATGTGTATACACATGTATACACAGTTTGTTCACGTACCATCTGATTGTCTACACAGAAAATCTTAAAGCATATACCAAATAACTCCTAGAACTAATTAACTTTGTGTTAATATGTAATTAACAGGGTTAATATATAAAGAAGGTTATTATAAAAGATTAATATACAAAAAAGGTCAATTGCTTTCCTATATTCCAGCCATAAACAAGCAGTATTTGAAATTAAGAACATTTAATCCCACTTACCTTAGCAGTACTGAAAACAAAATATTTAGGTATAAAACTAACAAAATACGTACAAGGTCTGTCTTTATGAAGAAAACTACAAAACTCTGATAAATCAAAGAGCTATAAATGTAGAGAGTGTCTATATTCATGGATAGGAAGACTCAATACTGTCAAGATGTTAGTTCTTTCCAACTTGATCTACAGATTTCAATATTATTCCAACAAAAACCCCAGCAAATTATTTCGTGGATATTGACCAACTGACTCTAAAGTTTGCATGGAAGGCCAAAGAACCAGAAGAGCCAACACAATATGGAAAGAGAAGGACAAAGTTGGGAGTGTGACACCACACATCCATGGAATCCATAAAAGATGAGCAGTCAGCAAGGTCTGAGTCACTGAGGGGGACTAAATACCTGGGATTCAGCCTGTTTTTTTAGGGCAGTGAAACTTCTCTGTATGATACTGTAATGGTAGATACATGTCATTATAATTTGCTCAAATGCACAGAGTGTGCAGTATCAAGAGTGAACCCAAATATAAACTACAGACAGGATTACAATGATGCGTCAATATTGGCTCATCAATTCTCACAAATGTACTACTCTGGTGGGGAATGCTGATGATGGGGGAAGCTATGAATGAGTGGGGCAGACACTATATGGGAAATCTTTGTGCTTCTGCTTG